ATAGACTAGATGTCCTTGTGCCTGCTTTTCATCTGTTATCTGTTTGAACGTGGATATTCTAGACGAGGGTCAATGTCCATTTAACTGAAAGGTCGCTTTTATAGACTTGAGTCACGCCATGTGCTGTAATAGGCTAGAACAGAAGTTTTGCGTATATAGATTAAGGAAACTGTATTTCAAACTCTGTATGATGACAGAAAGGGAAAGGTCTTCTTGGAGGAGATGAACCCACATTTAGCATCCATACCAATCAGGGCTGCCAGATAGCACCTCCAGATGATGCATGCAACATGAATGCATGCAACTTTGCCCTTTTCGTCCAATGACAGCCAGTGTTCCTAGTTGGAACAAGACTGGCTCAATTTCACTCTTGGTTCCATGCTACTTATGGAGCCGTCTCCAGAAGCTGGCACTTAGTGAAACAATGATTTTACCCTCCAGTCTTTATCCACTACCACCTTAGCTGTAGAAGTGCCTGTCCTCAAAATTAAGAAACAACAGTTGTCCTCTGAATTCCTCTATAGGCACTAAAACAGGCATGCAGCTCACAAGAAGAACTGACCAGCAGTACCATTACTGACAAAAATTGCAACTAAATGCTCTAAACATCCTTAAATGGAAATGTAACAGGACTGCACTGGTATCTGTTAGTCTATACAAGCCTTAAAAGATAAAGCACAACCTCTGTCAGACTAACACAGAATTATCATCTCTGCTCTCCTATGAAATAAGGTAAATTATGCACTATTGTGTATTGAAACTACTACAATTTTGAATGAAAAAAAAAAATTAAAAAATTGAATGAAAACACTCTGCTTAAAGTATAGAAAAGAATAAAAGAAATCAGAAATCTGTTCACAGAATCATAGAATCACTTAGGTTAGAAAAGACTTTAAAGATCATTAAGTCCAACCCCAACCTAACCATACTGCCCTAACTCTAACAACCCTCAGCTAAATCATCCCTGAGCACCACATCCAGACAGTTCTTAAACACATCCAGGGATGGTGACTCATCCACCTCTCTGGGGAGCCTATTCCAGTGCTTAACAACGCTTTCTGTAAAGAAGTGTTTCCTGATATCCAAACTAAACTTACCCTGGTGCAACCCGAGGCCATTTCCCTTCGTCCTGTCACCGGTAAGAAGAGACCAACCCAGCTCTCGCTGTAAGCACCTTTCAGATATTGGAAGAGAGTCTTCCCTCCCCTCAGCCTCCTTTTCCCCAGACTAAACAGCCCCAGATCCTTCAGTCTCTCCTCATAGGGCACATTCTCCAAGCCCTTCACAAGCCTTGTTGCCCTTCTTTGGACCTGCTCCAGACTAGTGTCTTTATCTACTGTAGTAATCTACAGCCTTCAGAGACCTTTCCCTCCCATCATTGATGGAAGGAGCTCAGTGTGCTCTCTTCTAACGCAGGACTACATCTTCGGGGAGGTCATCTACACTGAGACATTTTAAGGAAATATTCTGTGACTATAGCACTAAGCTCTCTAAACATTCAAAAAGCACAATTTATGCACGAGAGACTATTCAACAGCTGCCTTACCCAAGACATTACTGTAGTATCCATCCCATTCATCTCGCCAAAACTTTAAGAAAAATAAATCCATGGCAAAATAAAAGAAGAAATTCTGCAGTCTCTCCACAAAGGACATCTGGTCTGTCAACCCTATTGTGCTAGCAGGAACATAAGAAGGTGGAGATGGGAGTCCACCACACAGCCGCTCTACCACATTCCCCTCAGAAAAACGGAAACTGTAGACAAAAGGGATTCCCAGGAGGTCTGCTGCAAGCTCACCACATACAGCTAGAGGGTCAGCTATTAGAATATCAAACTTGGCCTGATGCAGCCTTGCTATCAGCTCAGGATTTGACACCAAGGCATCACAGGAGCGCTTTGACAAGTTGGAAAAGGAGTATATGGCTTCTTTCATCTTCCACATAGTCGTCCAGGGGAACAGATGAGGGAGGTCATTTATCCAGAGATTGAGGAAGTTCTCCATGAGAGCATCCAGGGTCTCTTGGGTGAAGTTCACTTTCAGGACTTCAAAGGTGAAAGGAGATGATGTGTCTTGGTAGTCAATGAGCAGATTTGCTGATGGTACCAGCACAGTCACTTCATGACCCCGGAGAATGAGCTCTTCCAACAACACTTTCATGTTGATCCAGTGACTGGCATCAGTGGGCCAGACCACCACCTTCCCACAAAAGCCAACACTCCAGCAGCATGCAAAGGTCCAGAGTAGCCAGGAGAATCTTTGTCTCATCATCTCAACAGTCCACACACAAGTCCAGTCTGAGCATGCTTGAAACAGTTACACTACTTTAGTGTGCAAACAACTTTGGAAACAGCCAGTAAAAATGAGATTCACTTGGTGCCAGCCTTGTCAAGAGAGTGCGTCAGTACAGCTAACACCACCTGAAGGAGAGTTGGGCAAGCAGTAAATCCCGTTCTGGAATCTCCTGCAAATCTGCAGCCAACCTCTGAAAATGAAAGCAAATCCTGTTTCTGCTCACTAGAAAGTGCAGCCTGCAGCATGCAAGGCCCAGAAGCCCTAACCCTGCTGCCAGATCTTCAAGGTACACATCCCTGTGCACAGCAGTTCAGGCTAGGGGAGCCCAAGGAGCTCAGTCTTTTCACTTGATTACAGCCCACATTTGCTTCTTTGCCCTTGAAGAACCAAACTACCTGTATGTCTGGTTACGGTTTTAATCTCCTGGTTTACTACGTGCAGACACAACATCATGTTGTGATTCACAACAAATCTGCAGTGTTCTCTCATCCTGTATTCATCATTACCAGATGCTGTGGGCTCATTACTGGTAGGGGACAGTCCTGGCAGAGGTCATCACAGCATCAAGGCCATTCCATGGAATAAAGAGGAGGAAATGGAGAGCTTGGGTTTTGCTCACCTTCTTTGCCCCTCGCTGTTCAGGGCAGTCCAACACAAGAATCCTAATTTCCCTCCTGAAGGCAATCCCACAGATAGATCAAAGATGCCTTGTGCCACTGATGTGTAAATGGAAGAGTACAGGCAGCTGCTCTTTCCTGAGCAGAAGGATGAGGCTTATGCTGAGTTGAAGTAGGGCCTGGGCACTCCTCCAGGAGCCCAGCACCACTACATGGGACCCTCACTGGACTGATACAGCTCAGACAGGAGATACAGCAGACTGCAGTCAGTGAGAAGTAGGCTTACATAGAGTTTGTACGTATAACCTTAAGTGCTAATGCACATATATTATGACTAGTATCACTCATTTAAGGCAGCCTGAAGCTGACACAGCCTAGGTTCAGCAAAATGCATTGCTTCCAGCACAAGGCTGTCTAGCTGCTGCCAAACTTGATAAGCAACACAAATAAATATGTAGCTAGTACTCCAGTAGTAAGACTTCCTGCCAACTTTGCTCTCTCAACAAAACCACACACTACTACAGATCTGAAAAATAAAGGCACTTAAATCTTCACATGGAAATAACAACCTTTTAATTCCTTCTCCCCCCCCACAAAATAAATAAATAAATTTCTTAATTAATGAATGAAGATTATCCTGTTTCCTCTTACTCATGACAAGAACTCTTTAAAACAAAAATTAAAAATTAGTTCTGCAGTTGTTATTAGATAAACAAATAAGCAACTCCAAGTACTTCTTTAAGATACCTTCAAAAAAGCCGAATACTTTTTTTCCTTGCTGCGGGGGGAATTGTGAGTGAGCATGTTACTAAAGGAAAATGAGGTAACTTTGGTAGACAGCCTTCTAAAAAACATATAGCTTTCTTCTTAAGAAATTTTAGCTCAGTAGTAACATTTGGTAGAAATGCAGTGGTATTCTTCTCTTCTTTGTGTCTGTTGCATTTGACTGACAGGCTGTTTCAAGTGGTATTAGCATTTGATAGGTTTGCCTATGTTAAAAATACCTGTATGGTTGTAGCTGTAGGTAGAAACAGGTAATGTTTGTTCTTGCCTGAGTTGTTTGCTGTGACACAGATATTTTGGAGGAAAGAAATTCAGGACTGCCTTAGTCCTAACTTGTACCTTGGCACCAAGGCTCTGGGTTTGCAGAGCAATGTGTAAAGCATGTGTAATCTCTGCAAGTAAGAGCAGCCTTACCTAAAACATCACTGTAGTATTGATTCCAGTGTCTCCAGAGAATGTAATGGTATGCGAGGTCCTGCAGAGCATAGGAGAACATGTTTTTTATCCTCTGTGTGTAGGTCATCCTGTCTGTTAGGGCACTTAGGCTGGCTGGCACGTAGGAAGGAGGAGATGGGAGCTGCCCGCAGAGCCGCTCCAGTGTGTTGCCCATGGAGAACCGGATGGTGTATATCAAAGGGATACCCAGCTTCTCTGCAAACAGCTCCCCGCTGGGCATCAGTGGGTCTGCCAGGAGGACATCAAAGGCAGATGCCCTCAGCCTTTCCATAAGCACCTTGTTCTTCACAACTCCATCACAAATGATTCTGGTTACATTCTCTAACTTGCGTAGCACGTCAATCATCTTGTAAGCACTTTGCCAGAAAGGTAACCTTCTCTCCTCGTAGAACCAAAAATAGAAACCTTCCTGCATTGTGGCAGCCATCTCACTTTTGCTGATTGGCACCTCAACCATCTCAAACTGGAAAGGTGAGGGCTCGGTGCCATTGAGGATAAGGAAGCACGAAGGCAGCAGCACGGTCACCTCATGGCCCCGGACTACAAGTTCGTGCAGGATAAACTCCATGTTGAGCCAGTGGCTGTTGTCAACTGGCCAGACCAACACCTTCCCACCAGACACGGAGCCCAGCACAGCCAGCAGCCACAGCACAGCCACCTTCTTTCCTGACATGATTTACAGTGCTTCTCAGTGCCTCAGTGGCCTTGCTTCCTCAGGAGCAACAGAGCACATTGAAATGGGCTGGGCCTGCATGACAGTGCAAGGCAAAGAGCCAAGGTAGCTGGTGCGAAATCCCGTCATGGATAACAACATGTTTTCCTGGGGAAAAGGTGACTGGAACCAGTTGGCTCCATCTGGCGGCCAGTGACCTGATGAAGGTTGAAGAGGTTTCCTCTGAAGCAATGCAGAGAACCGCGAACTCAGCCCTGTGGGGGTTGGCTTTCTGAGCTGTCCTGGCTTTTATGCCTATCTAGCTATCATCTGTGTTATTTTTGGTACAAGAGGTGACTTTGTCATTCCTCTGGCAGCTCCAGTGGCAAATGATGTTCAGAGAAATGTTCACCCACTTGTGCATCTTTTTGCCTTGTGAAGCCACTGAGCATCTGTTTGCAGTATGCTTAGCATGGTGATCCAGGGTTGCAGCTGGCAAGCTGATCTCCGTGTAGATGAGATGATGTGGTAAAGCAAGCAACTTCTGTGTCAGAATAAGGCTGTCCTCACATGAACTTTCCTCCTCCACAGCTGTCCTGAAAGGAGACTGGAGCTGCAAGTTGATGGCCATGGGGCTGTCCTGTCTGCCAGCAGGTCCCAGTATTATGCTGTAAGTAGAACCAGAAGCTCTGGTAAGCTGCTTTATTTACAGCTCTACTTCTGATTTCCAGGTAAGAAATGATGTGTGACTTCTTCACTGTGCCAGAAATAATCATTGTGGTCCTACCTATTTTTGTTTTCCCAATCATGTCATTGGGCAGAGCATTTTCTGTGCATCCTGTGCTGTCAAGAGCACCCTTTCCAGCTTGCAGGGGAAGTGAAAGTGGTGGTCAGGCCCTAAGAAGCTGAGCTGAGGCTCCTGTCTACTGCACACATGACAAGAGCTTTCTGTGCTTGTGGAGTCCTGCAGCATACAGGCATATTGCATCCTGAGAAGTGAGACTTGGAGGTCCCCTGTTACACAGGGTTGGTGTGAGCTCAGTAAACATGTCATGTTGACTGCGTACTTACCCAAGCACATTTTTCTATATATTTGCTCAGAAGAGTCCAAAACAAAAGCCTTTGAGGAAGGCTTGTTATTTTTACTGTTCCCTTGTAGGTGGAAGGTCCGTTTGCACAAAACAAGTTGTATTTAGAAAGGATTGGTTTTCTTTATCAGTGATGTAAGTGAAGTCTATTGCAAAAGCACAGTGCACCTCAGTTGTTATTGAGGGTCAAGGCAGGCTTGTAGCTCACCTAGTTGTGATGCTTTGCCCCAGGAAAGCAGTTCTGTTGTGTGCTTTCAGTGTGAGCATGGGAGGGGAAGAAGTATGAGCTGAGCTCTCCATGCTGACAGCGCACTGTGCTGGGAAAGTTTCTTAAGACTCTACATTAGAATTAATTATGGCAAATCCCTCAGTTGGAATGCCTGCAGATTCCTGTCTTCACACAGTACCATGCCAGCATGGCATCCTGACAGGGGTGGGTGCAGTTGATACGAATGTTCTTGACTTGGGCAGTTTGGCGAATGTTGACTTAAGACTGTAAGGATTGCCTGGATAGATTGAAGCAGGATCTCCAGAAAAATGCGGCTTCTGTTTTGTAGATGATATTAATTATTTTGGTCTCAGAAATCACTCTGGCCTGCTGTTTCAGACAGCCATTACATGCTGTATATAAAAGGTCAAAGAATCACAGAATCGTTAAGGTTGGAAAAGACTTCTAAGATCATGCAGTCCAACCTCCAGCCCACCCCCACCATGCCCACTAACCATGTCCCTCAGTGCCACATCTCTGTGTTTCTTGAACACCTCCAGGTTCAATGACTGTACCACCTCCCTGGGCAGCCTGTGCCCATGTCTCACCACTCTTTCTAATAAGAAATTTTTCCCAATATCCAACCTGAACCTCAACTGCCTGACTCTTTTCACTGGTGGCTTACCCACTTTTCCACATATTGACAACAATGAAAAATTTGTTGGTGGCCGTGTGTTGATTGCTTCCCCCTCCAGGCCTTCCCTTTGCCACCCTCTATGCTCCCAGCTCTGTAGCTCACAGTATGGGAAGCTGAGTAATAAGAAGCTATGTAGCAACAGCTTACCTAAGATCTTGCTGTAGTAGATGTCCCATTCTCCCCAGTAGCTCTGGAAAATGTAGTCTTGCAAGTGATAAGACAGGATATTCTTAATTCTCTCGCCAAAGGACATGTGGTCAGTGAGTTCAGACAGGGCCGCAGGTGTGTAGGATGGTGGGGCTGGGATTTTGCCACAGTGCCTCTCAACAGTTGAGGCTGGAGAGAAGCGCAGGGAGTACATGAAGGGCAGTGCCAGCTTGAGAGCTACGAGGTCCCCGCAGAGAGTAACTGGGTCTGACAGTAGCAGGTCATAGTCAGAGCCCTGTAGATGAGCCATCAGCTCCTGGTTAGTCAGCACTGCATCGCACATCTGCCGGTTGACCTGGTGCCAGCTTTTAGACAGTTTCCCCAGCTCTCTGTAAAACTGCCAGAAGGTCGAGGCTGTTGGCCTGTTGTTCAGCCACAGTGCCACAATCTCCTCAATCAGGTTTGCAATGGTGTCTTTCTTGAAGGGCACGTTAAAAACCTCAAATTTCTCAGTGGTTTCAGCCTTTGGCTGAATGAAGAGGGAAGCATTGGACACCAGGATGGTGACACTGTGCCCACGGCGGATGAGCTCCCGAATAACCGTCTTCACGTTTAGCCAGTGGCTGCCCTCCGTTGGCCAGACCAGCACATTCCCACAGAAGACAGGTGCTACCAGAGCCACATAGAAAGCAAGAAGCTGGAGGCATTTCTTGGAGCTGGTGGCTTTTGTGGCCATGGCAGAATTGAGGACTAGATAGCCTGGCAGCTTTCTCTTCCAGCTGGGAGCACTCCACCTCTGTGTTGTCTGTGAGAGTCTGCTGCTGCTTGAGCAGGGCCTTTCAAACCTATGTGGTCTCTAAAACAAAGACAGGAAAGGATGCTTGGTGATTTGCTTTTCCCTTTCTGTTTTCTACCATTAACCTCCCCCTGACGGTACTCCTTTCCCTAGATAGGGGTGGCAGCAGTCCCAGCGCTGTCAGAAGTCCCTGCTTCCCTCAGACCTGTTCATTTGCACAATAATTTAATTCTTTGTTTATTGTACTTTTTTAGTTTCTCCCTAAAGGGATAAAATCCTTACTGAGGACATGAAAGCAAATAATAGGGATTTTCTTCCACTATATAGGTGCTATATTAGTCATTAACTGCTGGTAGATATGTAACTATGACAAAATAAGTGGTATCTCTGTAAACACTGAAGGAATATTGAAATTTGCTGAAGAATGCACAGCCATATCTGACTTGAAGCCTGTTTTCAATTGCAAAAGCCATGATGCCTGCATACTTTAATGTTTCTACCTTTTATGGTACAAATTACGTATGCAAAATATATTTTTTTACTCTTTGTTCCCAGAATATGCACAGGGTTCTGCTGAGCCAACACCAGCTGTGCTGCAGGAACTGTGTGCATGAAGGTGTGTCCAGACTTGGGGCAAGAGCCCAGGGCTACACAAGCCAGATGGACACCTGTGATGGGACTAACAGGAAAAAAGTGATGTTCCAGGCATCAGTAAGCCATCTCAACCCTTTTACACTGTTTAAGTAATACAAATCATGGCAGTTCTGGTGCTGAACGGTCATTGCTGCTGTCTGGGGCACATCAGCACTATGACATTGGTAATATTGTAGGCTTGGTTTGGGTATCTAATGATGGGTCTGACTACCTTCTAGCTGCCAGAAGTGTTTCTTGAGTTGGAACCTGAGCATATTCTGGGCTGTCTCTCTTTTGGAAATGTAAGCACTATGTCTTGAAAGGAGCTTTTAATCACTAGGAATCAAAATGGGACAGAACATGGTATGCTCAATCTAACATGGTTCAGCAAGTTGAAAGAAGCAATGCCATGCAGCAAATCTCTTACCTAGAAGAGCCTTCCAAGGTGCAAAATCATCATTGTGCTCTGGTTCATACGGTGCAATGTGCTGTGCTGGTTTGCTTCTGTGTGTTGCAGCTCACCTGCTCTGAGCCTGGGCAGCTCTGGCAAGGCTTGGCACTGGGCAGGACTTTAAATAAGTTTCACCCTGAACATGTATTTTCAATAGGAGGGAGTAATACAATATGGGATGATCATAAGGAGGCATGTCTTCCAGGATTATTCATTGCTTTGTTGTGCTTTGGTAATCTAATAGTTTGGATGGTCTTCTCTGTGCTAGGGAATATTGTGATGTTGCTACAGAGCCAGATTCTCAGAAGGATTTGCATCCTGTAGGTCAGAGATAAGGTTTCTGAGGCTAAAAATATTTTTTGCTCCCATTAAGGTCCTAGCTGTTATAAAAAAAAAATTGGTTGCTATATAATAGACTCACTTACAAACTGGAACAAAGAGTATCTTGTGCTTTGTTTGCAAAGCTTTTCAAGAGTTGCATGTTAGCCTTGCTGTTAAGTACTGCGAGTGGCATTTGGTTCCAAAAGTTGAGGTAAATGTTACTAACTGGTAACTATACAAATCTGAAGATACATCTCTATATTTATCTTAAATTTTGGCTGTAATACATAAACTTTCTAAACCCTCTGTTTGGGGCAATTATACCAGCATGCAGCATGTTGTGACAGTAATTGGCTTCACCTCCAGCAGTTTCTCTGCAATTGTAGAATCAGATAATGGCTTGGATCAGAAGGGACCTTAAAGCCCATCCAGTTCCAACTCTCTGCTGTGGGCTGGTTGCTACCCACCAGATCAGGCTGCCCAGGGCCCCATTCAGCCTGGCCCAGGGATGTACATCCACAGGCTCTCTGTGCCAGTGCCTCAACACCTTCACAGCGAAGAGTGTTTTCCTTACATCTGATCTCTGTCTACCATCCTTTAGTTTAAAACCATTACTCCTTGCAGGTGGAATCTTGTGAGTGGAGCAGAAGATAACAATAGCCTCCCTCGCTCTGCTGGCCATACTTCTTCTGATGCAGCCCAGCATGTGGTTGGCTTTCCAGGCTGCAAGTGCACACAGGGCTGCTCTCAATCCACTCATTCCTCATCTGTACTGATGCTTGGAGTTGCAAACTCAGTTGAGAATCATAGAATCATACAATATCCTGAGTTGGAAGTGGTCTGCAAGGCTCGCTGAGTCAAACCCCTGGCTCCACACAGGACCACTCAAAACCCAAACTCCATGTCTGAGAGTGTTCCCCAAATATTCCCTGAACTCCAGCAGCCTGGGGCTGTGCCCGCTCCCTGGGCAGCCTGTTCCATGTCCACTGGTGCAAAGCCTTTCCCTAAACACTCTCGTGGCCCTGCCCTGACACAGCTCCATGCCGTTCCCTCAGGTCCTGTCGCTGTCACAGAGAGCAGAGCTCAGCGCTGCCCCTCCACTCCCTGTGAGGAGCTGTAGCTGCCATGAGGTCTCCCCTCAGCTTCCTCTGCTCTGGGCTGAGCAAACCCAGGGACCTCATTCAATCCTCATATGTCTTGCACTCTATACCTTTACCATCTTCAAAACCCCCAGTAACAAATTCCTCTGTAGAAGCCAAGAGCTATTGCCAGAGGAATCAGAGGGTTAAAGCCTTCCTTTAAGGGTAGGATTTGAGAGGACATATTTTAAAGGTGGTGCTCACATTACTCTTAATGCAGAAAAGATAAGCCTTAAGAGGATTTGAGGATGAAATCCAGCAAACAAAAGAAAAGTAAGCTGAAGAAAATGAATGGTATTACATGCCTGCACTTTTACATATCTAGCATTACTCAGCATAATGGCTGCAGAAACTGATGCAACTTCTGGTCTCTGATAGCTGTAGGTTACTCAAGTTTAATGACATAAAGGTTAGGGCATCCAGCCTCATGTTTTTCACACACAGGTACAAAAACATCTTCCACATCTTCCCAAATGTGACAGCAAGTAAGCCTCGATGACCACCGGCACCTCAAAAATTCAGCACCAGAGCTGAGAAGGGAGGCATTTGCCCTGAGAAGCACCGAATCACATCATGTTTCCTATGTGTTATTTCCAGAAAGCAGTCTTGGAGCTAAACAGAAGCTTGGAAGTCTTGAATTGGTAAAAGACAAGTATTTCAAAGGGAGGGCAATGTGTGGGTGGAGAAGACTGAGGTTGTTTGGAGGTTGTTTCATCCCCAAGTGTGGGATGAGATGGGAACTTAGATTGAGGAACACATGCTGTCCACAGTAGAAAACTGATGCCCTTGCAATCCCCACGTGTAAGAGGGAAACTCCAGCAACAGGTGATGAGCTGAGACCTGTGCCATAATGCCATTTCTCAGCCAGCTTGTGACTTTATCTCAGCATTGCAAGAGAACAAAATGTACCTCTGCTTACAATATTTCCTTGTTCAGTTTCAGATTTTTAATTCTCTCCACTGCTGCTCGGATACTGCATGGACACCTTTGCATGTAAGTATACAGACAGTGGGATAGCTCACGCTTGGGCCTTTCCAGTCTGCAAGGGAAAAAAAAAACAAACAACATAACAAAATGAGAAAGGATCCAGGCCAAGCTTTGTGTACAGTCAGTGCTTCATCTTGTCAGGAGAGACTGATGTCAGCCCTCCTGCAGGACTGTTATGCTCCACGGGCACCACCAGATCTGCAAATGGGAGAGTGTAGGTATGGTGGAAGCCATCCAGTGCCTTTTCAGCCCTGTCTGTGTCAGAGTTTTCCCTGAGCAAGGTCAGCTCAGAGGTGATTGATTTTAGTGCGTGAAGTTTGGACTCAGCAGGGAGTTGTCCCACAGAGCAATCAGGAAAAGACCAGGCTGTCATGGGCTCTGGCAACGAGTGTGCAGCAGCCATTGCTTTGAGCTATGCAGGAATTTACTTACATTTCATAATGCATTTATATTTTAGTAGCTCCACAGAGAATGAAAAACAAATGAGATCTCTGCTAAATTTTGACCGAATTCACCAATTGTACCTATCTTTGATTCCATGCTTTATCCATCTGCAGGCTTTGTAGTCTAAGAAAGCAATCTGGAGGCAGAGCAGAGCCCACCTCGAATTACAAAAGGGATAATTTTTTTTTCTGCTGATGTGGGTGCAGCGTGCCACTTGAGAAGCAAGAGGAAGGGAAGAGGAGGGAATGTTGCAAGACCTGGCTTTGTATCAACACAGGCATGCAAAGGCTTTGTAGAGGACAGGAAGTGCCTGGAACAAATTAAAACCAAGTAATTTGCATGCGCGTTGGAGCAGTCTGGCAAAAGCAGTGGTGCTTTCTGGAAGCAGCGGGAGCAGAAGTGAAAGGAAATTCCTGCAGCTAGTCGTCATGTTGTGGTGCTGAGGGGCTGCGAGAGGGGCTGCCAGGAGCAATCCAGCGTTCATACAGATTGCTTCAGCGTAGAAATACATGGCCAGGGGGTGATGGCCTGAGGAACACCCATGGAATGCCAGAGAATGGGGTGAGATGAATGTGAATGGAAGACTGGTGGTTGTGTTGGTGCAAGAAATAAGGGGCGTAAAAACAAAACAAGCAACACCCAGCAAAACCAGAATGTCATTATTGAATGCCTTGGATCACTTCACCTGCATCTGAGAAAGAAATCACACCTTCAGAGAGATTCCTTCAGAAACAGCAGTAGTGGATGTTCCAGGTCTCCGAAAGTAAACAGGACTACAGCTCTCTCTCGGCAGTGCTAGGGATGCTTTTGGCCCCATTCCACTTACCATGCTTCTTTCCCATGGCTCAGCTGCTGTGTGACCTCAGGGGGAGCTTGTCATCAGCACCTGCTGATGGATATATGAGGATGGAGATGGTGGACACTGGACCACTGTGTGCAGTGTGGCAGCAGAGATGTGCACAGGAGACAGAAAACATATTTGTTTCCCATGTGTTGGAAGCACATCTCTGACTTATTTATTCCTCCCCCCAAAAAGCTGTGTGTGTGCACAGCTAGATGTGTGTCCTAATGGATGATGCTCAACATAGTGATGCAGCTGCTATCAAATGAGTGTGAAATGATGCTGGGGAGACAGTGGGAAGGCAGAATTAAAACTCTTTTATTTTTGCAAAAGCAGAAATCTGAAGGTGTGTGAGACTCAGATTTCTGTGCGGAAGCACAGGTCGGTGCCCATCATCTTCTGCGCATAGTACTGGTCAAAGTGCGCATTCTGGGCCACGGTGAAATGGTTCTTCCAGTCACCGGTGATGCCTGGGGGGATGAGAAGGGAGTGAGTGGGGCCAGAGGATCCAGGGAGTCTGGGAACCCACTAAGGTTGCTTACCTTTGCGCATGAAGGGAGAGATGCTATGGTCCATGAGGTGGGAGGGCACAATGCTGTAGTTGGTGCTGGGATTGTCCCGCATGGCCTCAAAGGATGTGTGACGGGCAATGGCCTCCAGTGCCACCTCTGTCAGCTCCCGCCCCAGGAACTGGGCCACCTTAACAATCTCGCGGCAGAGATCCTGAGGCAAGGGCTGGTGCTCAGCCCCAGTACCACCAAGCCTCAGCCCCACCATCAGCTCCAGCCCCTCACCTCCTTCATGTCCTCATAGAAGAGGTAGAGGATGGGGTGCTCCTGCCGGCGCTCCCAGTAGCCCCGCACGTGGTCGAACCAAGAACCATAGGCCACTGTGTGGGGAAAGCAACCATGAGGGTGCATGGCAGCACCCTCAGTGTCCCCGTGTGCTCCCATGGGTTCCCCCCCACCTTTGCCGGCCATGAACGCCTCCAGGTACTGGTCCCATGTTCCTGGGTGTTGGTCCAACTTGTTCATCAGGTCAAAGTAGTAGAAGGAGACGGCCACATCCTTGGCATTGCGACCCACATAGATTATCTGTGGAAGAGGCTGGTGACAGCACCTGGTTCTCCAGTGGTGAGGCTCTGAACACTACATACAGTGCTGAGAAGACTGAAGTTGAGGGCTACCTTGCAACCATTGTCCCAGAAGGATTTGGGCAGGATATGTGCAGGCAAGTGGCTCTTGACCACACGGGGTGAGTGCATGGTAGCTAGCACCTCTGTTCCTGGGGACCACAAAGGATTTTCCTGTGTGCCTTTGGGCACAGCCCCTGGTGGGGTGCCCCCAGATGAGCCCTTCCCCCCCTACCTGCTGGCATCTCCCCAGGGGCAGCAAATTCCAACATAGGTACCCGTTTGGTGATTGCATCCCGTTTGCACTTCTCAGGATCGCCACCTTGCAGGATCATGTCCACAATCTCACTGACCCAGGTGGTGCCTGGAGAAATTGGCCCATTGGGGAAGGTATTGAAGAGACTCTCAGCACCACCAAAGTCCCCAGACTCCAAATGAGTACTGTGGGATGAAAGGAAAGTCCACATGCGCCTTCCCAAGATAGCAGGTCCTGGCCGTGCCACATGTTTGACCCCAGGACCACCACACTGCTGGGATTTGGTCTGCTCACCAGACTTGGGGAACGTGGCCACCACAATGTCTTCAGGGCGGCTCTGGAAGTTGTCCACCCGTTCCCAGTTTGGGGCAAAGGCGCATACCATGGGGATGCCATGCACCATGCTCCAGGGCTGGCGCAGGTATCTGTCCACCGTAGCCATCCTGATGGGGACAATGGAGGACTTATGGGAGGCAGCTGCTTGGGGGAGCAGCCTAGGACCCCCTTGTCCTCCTGGCCTGTGGGTACCAGTCTTCATGCACAGCTGGAGAGTTGCAGCCTCTAGAACAGTGAGTGGAGCCCCAAAGGTGTCCTGGGTAGTAGAAGCACCACCCCGAGCACCACTCCTCTCCTCCTATCTAGGGAGGGAAGCATGGAGACAAGGCCTGGGAACATCCTGCAGCAGCTGCCATCCATGGAGGAGGCTTTGGGGTGCTGTATGCACCCCTGCAGAGCCCAAACCCCATGCCTTGTCATGCCAGGGGCTGGGTCCCATAAGTCTTTGAGCAGCCCCGCCCACTTGGCCCCATGAGGCACCTACAGTTCCAAGGGGCTGAGTATAGGCAGGAGGCCTCACCTGGCAGTGTGCGCTCTGCACAAGGATGGTGACAGCGGGAGAGCAACAGGATGGTGACACCGGGGGGGTGGCACAGGCAAGGTAGCAGCAGAGGACAGGGAGGCTCAGGTCCAGCGGAAGCTCTGGAATAGAAGTGAGGAGGACAGAGTGTGTGTGGGAGGAAATGTTTGTCAGCAGTCTACATACAAGGAAGGAGGAGCAAGCGCCAGGGAAGTTCGGAGTTCATGAGTACTGAACTCGGTGGCCCCAGTCTGGTGAATGATCATAGGTGTGTCAGGGATGAGGCAAGCACAGGGATGAGGCAAGCACAGCGATGCAGCAGCCAGCACACAGAGTGGGCTCAGCAAGGACACTTTATTTCTCTCTAGCAGCACCAAGAAAGAGGAAAGAGCACATGGTGTTGCTCAGGTGGTCCCGTGGGCGTGGGTGGATGATACAAGGCTGTGGAATTAAGACAGGAGAAGGAATCTCAGATGTGTGTGCGAAAGCACAGGTCGGTGCCCGCCATCTTCTGCGCATAGTACTGGTCAAAGTGCGCACTCTGGGCCACGGTGAAGTGGTTCTTCCAGTCACCGGTGATGCCTGGGAGGGTGAGAAGGGAGTGAGCGGGGCCAGAGGAGATGAGGGGCCTGGGAGCCCTCTGTGGCTGCTCACCTTTGCGCATGAAGGGGGAGACCCTCTGGTCCAAGATCTGGGAGGGCATAACGCTGTAGTTGGTGCTGGGATTGTCCCGCATGGCCTCAAAGGATGTGTGACGGGCAATGGCCTCCAGTGCCACCTCCGTCAGCTCCCGCCCCAGGAACTGGGCCACCTTGGCAATCTCCCGGCAGGGATCCTGAGGCAAGGGCTGGTGCTCAACCCCAGTACCACCAAGCCTCAGCCCCACCATCAGCCCCAGCCCCTCACCTCCTTCATGTCCTCATAGAAGAGGTAGAGGATGGGGTGCTCCTGCCGGCGCTCCCAGTAGCCCCGCACGTGGTCGAACCAAGAACCATAGGCCACTGTGTGGGGAGAGTGGCCATGGACGTCACCACATGGCAGCACCCTCAGCATCCCCATATGCTCCTATGGGTCCCCCCCCCACCTTTGCCGGCCATGAAAGCCTCCAGGTACTGGTCCCATGTCCCTGGGTGAGGGTGCAGCTGGTTCATCAGGTCAAAGTGGTAGTAGGAGACAGCCACGTCCTTGGCATTGCGGCCCACATAGATCATCTGCAGAGGAGCTGGTGTTGGTGGCACATGGGGATTTGCAAGGTGCTAGTAGGGCTGGTCATACCCTTAGTTTGCAGAGTCCCTCCTGTTATGTCCTCTCCAACTTTGTTACCTTGCAGCCTTTGTCCCAGAAGGTTTGGGGTAAGATGGCAGCTGGGATGTGAGTCTTGATTATACGAGGGGATGGCATGTCCTCCAGCTGCTCTGTGCCTACAAAAAGCACTCCTACTACTAGCAGGATACACCTGAAAACCACAACCTGCTCCCACTCTTTTTAGCCAGTGTGGCCCCTCCAACCTGGGGGTAACCTTTGCCCATAGCCCACTACCTGCTGGCATCTGCCCGGGGGCAGCAAACTCCAGCATGGGCACCCGGTTGACAATGGCATCCCGCTTGCACTTCTTGGGGTCACCACCTTGAAGGATCATGTCCACGATCTCGCTGATCCATGTGGTGCCTGGGATGGAAGGGACATGGTTCTGGCTGGTGCTGTTCCTGCCCTAACTCATCACAGGCACTCAAATGCATCTTGAATCTTCCCATGCAAGGCCCCTCTGCCATGCTGAGGCTGCTCACCAGACTTGGGGAAGGTGGCCACCACGATGTCATCAGGGCGGCTCTGGAAGTTATCCACTCTCTCCCAGTTCTGAGCAAAGGCAGTAACCATGGGGATGGCATGCACAGTGCTCCAGGGCTGGCGCAGATAGGCATCCATTGTGCCAATTCTGATGGGGACAAGGGACACAGGATAGCAGTGTGGTCATCACAGGGCCACCTCATCCCTGTTCAGGCCCTGAAATTCCTGCTGAGCTCAGTGGCCATAGAAGGAAACCCTGTCTGGTGTGCTGGTGTCCTGGGAAGTGGCACCTGCCTCCTGTGAGGTATATTGGGAACCCCTGAATTTTGCTGCCAAAGGTGGGGAAAAAGAGGGTGCTAAGAGGGGAAAAAGCCCATTATCCTGCCTGGCATCAGCTTTTGGGGCAGCAGAAGAAGAGTTTTGAGAAAAGTGAGTGCTGCCCCTTGGGCAAAGGGCAGGTCCTGAAGGATAACTTGTCCTTTTCCTTGTGTTGGTGTGGGTGGCATGACACACCGATGCATCTGGCAAACCAAAGACCTGGATCTGTCTCTAGACCCCTTTTGTGATCGTAGAGATTCCCAAACCCATTTCTTAGGGCCTGCACCACCCCACAAAGCTAGCCTTGCAGAGATCAACCAGCAAATGGCTAGCCAACACTCTGCAGCTGGCAGGGAAATCAGATTTCCCCCTCCTGAGCCCCTCTGGCCTTGAGGCTTAGCGTTTCAGAGGCTGGTTGGGGGCTGCTCATTACCTGCTGCTGTTTGACGCGAAGAGTAGGGATGCTCTGCCAGCAGACACGGGGGGCTTTGTTTTCCTTTCCCCACACAGAAGATGGAGGCGCGGGGAGGTGCTTGGGAATGGGGACGTCACTGGGGGAGGGAAAGGGCGTGCAGGGTCTGGAGCCGAAGGCGGGTTGAGGGGTGAGTCCAGCACCTATGATGAGCCGAGCTCAGCACCCAATCCTAAATGGAGCTGGGGAAGGGCGACACTTGCATGGGGCTCACTGCTATGACACAGCACTTAGGCTCGTGCCCAGAAGGAGGGTCTAAAGTTTACACAATTGCAAAAGTGCAGTGCCAGCAGCAGCCAGAGCACTGCTGGGAAAAGAATTTAAGGGAGACGCACTGTGCTGGGAGGGAGGTTGCATATCTTTTTGGCAAAGCCAGCAGCTGGAGACACGTGGAGATGTTCCTCAGTACCGAAATTCACTATTTTGGAAACTCAAAAAAACAAAGCTGGAAATGGCATAGATGTGAGATTTGAGGCTCCAGAGCAAAATCCCTGATGGCAAAGGGATGGAGAGCAGGTTACCCCAGTGATGCCTGAGCAGAAGCATTGCAACTGTGGGTTAGCAGGGATGATCCCATGTCACTATGCCAGTGAATGGGTGCTGGAGTTGAGTGGGGCACGAGGTGTTTCCTCTTGCCTTTGCCCTGCTAAACTGAGGCTGGTAAAATAGCAATGGATATTTCTGCCCTGCTACTGCCCACTCTGCAAAGCAATCTGCAGCAATTCAGAGGCATAAACACGCCTAGGCAAAGAGGTACTGTGGGGCAGTGGGTACCTTCTGGCTGCTTTGGGGTTTTTCCACTCACAGAGCAATTGTTGAGCTTCTTGGCAATATTCTGTTTATTGCAATTTATTACAGTAATAAAAACGAATGGTAGTGTGCCCCAGTCTGGCACTGCTGCAGCAGGAATCCAGTGCCTGCTCCCCACTGGTTGCCGAGCCCCCACAATGTGCACCCCTCATGCCTCCATCTGGAAGCAGAGATCCGAGCCTGCCATGTGCTGCTGGTAGTGCCGGTCAAAGCACTCATTCTGAGCCACAGTGAAGTGATTCGCCCAGTCGCCGCACATGCCTGAGGGGGTAGGAAAGCATGTGAGGCAAAACCTGCCCCTCCAAATATCTGCGTCCACAGATGAGGGCTGCAGTGTGGCCTGGGGATTCCACTCACCAGACACCACAAGCCAAAACCCACCTTTCCGCATGAATGGGGAGAGGCTGTGGTCCATCAGTGTAGTGGGCATTGTCTCATAGTTGCTGGTAGGGTTCTTCTTCATCTCCTTGAAGGAGGTGTGATGGAGGATCCTTGCCACCATCTCGTCTGCCACCTCCTTGTCCAGGAACTGCAGGATTTTCTGAACCTCTCCCCATGGGTCCTGAGGAGCAGCAGGAGTGGGGATGCTTGCTGCTGGCACTCCCTCAGAAATCGCTTGGGGCAGCAGGGGTAGGCTCCACACCCTCCCTCCAGATTATCCTCACCTTCTTCATATCCTCATAGAAGAGGTAGAGAAGCCGCTTCTCGTGCCTCTTCTCCCACCAGCCCTTCACATGCTTGTACCAGGACCCATAGGCCACTGCAGGATGTGGGTAGGGTTAGCTGAAAAATGGCACAGCAAAGGATGCCCTCCTCACTGGCATTTATCAGGGGAGTCTAGGAATTCAGCCCCTACCTTTCCCATCCATGAATGCCTGCAGGAACTCGCTCAGTGTGCCAGGATCAGGGTGGATCTTGGCCATCTGGTAGAAGTAGTAGTAGGAGACTACGACGTCCTTGGCATTGCGAGCCATATAGATCACCTGGAATGAGCCAAGGCTGTGACTGGGGGGGCAGCAGTGGTGTCCCCTCACTAGTGCCCCAAAGGGAGAGAGACTGAGAGCTGCTTCGATACATTACCTTGCAGTCCTTCTCCTGGAAGGAGGCCGGGAGGAGGTGAACTGGCAGGTGGGTCTTCACCAACCGTGGGGATGGGGTTTTCTCCAGCTGTTCAACACCTGCAGGATGGAGGATCAGTACCCTGACCCCACACCCGCTCCAGCACCGCTCCTTCCCTGCACAGCCCTCAGATGCTCACCGCTCAGTATCCCAGGGATCTTCATCTCCAGGAAGGGCACCCTGTTATAGATCGCATCCCGCTGACACTTCTCCAAGTTGCCATCATGGTAGATTGCATCCAGGATCTCACTCAGCCATGTTGTGCCTGCAGCCCATGGGTAAGCATTACAGGGGCCAGCAGTGTAGGAGCTGTGAACTACCCAGCTGTGCCCCATCTTTCTCCTCCCCATCTCCCCTAGAGCCACTTACCAGACTTAGGGTAGGTAGCGATGAGCAGGTCATCGTGTTGGGCTTGGAAGGCCTCCACCTGTGGCCAGCCTGCCACAAAGGATTTGTAGAGTGGGATGTCATGAAGGCGGCCCAGCTCTTGCCTAAGTACCTCATCCTTTCCCATGCTGGCAGCCGGTGCCTACACACTGTCTGTGCCTGAGCCCAAGGGAAGGCAAAGTCCATCCCACATCACGTGTGGCCCTAAAGGGCAGTGAGAGCCTCCTTGCCTGGCCCCACTGAGCTTTTTTCTACTGAAAAAGCAGTCGATCCTTTTGGAATGAGACATGCTCAAGCATGACAAGAGTTCCTCCTGCTCCTACAGCAGCCCCACGACACAGTTCTGCTGTTGGATGGTTTCTCTTAAGTGCCAGTGGAATAGCAAAACGCTGCTCGGCAAGGGCAGGGAATGCCTGAGCCCAGCAAAACCCAAAGGGGGGGGGGTGGGGGTTAGGGTTAGGGGAGGGGGGGGAGAGACGCGGGGGGGGAGAGGGGAGCATGTCGCCCCCCAACCCCTTCGCTGGTTCGGCCTGCCAGAACCCGAACGTGCACCGCCCCGTTTAACAACGGCCGAGTGCGAACCGTCCACTCGCGCCGCCCTGCAGCGATAGGCGACCGTGTGCGCTGCGCCGCGCCCGCGAGAGGGCGCTGTGGTAGCGGATGCCGGGGCCTGTGCGGTTTTGGCCTCGTGAAATTGGCGATCTAATACATGAATTGCAGACTGCAGTGCCTGTGTTGACCTCCTCTTAATGTGTTCCAAAACAAGCAGTTTCAGAACTAAGAAGTTAAATTTAATAATACTTCTATTGTACTGTCTTTACATGATTAATAAACTCAGTACATTTCAGTGTGTTTTCTAACTTATGGGTCTGTAGCTGTTGAAACCATGAAGCATATATAGAAAATGAATATAATATGCATTTTTTTAAAATTGTGGTAATTATATAGGATGTATTTTGGATATCAGGGTGCTTTGAGTTCCAGTTAATTTGGGAATTTTATCTGTGTGATGGTGCTTCCAATAAAGATAATTTGTTTTCATACTTCTCTTTTCAGGTATCTGAAATAATATTCATACCTTATCTTAAATTGGAAAGTTGCAGAGGTACTATCAAGTAACTATGAAATAATTGCATGGGCGCTCATGTGCATATATAAAAAAGTCTGTATTACCTTCTTTAAAGGAAATACAAAGCATGACATTGTATGCCACTAAAAGATTAAGATGTATTAAGAGTTGAATTCAAGTTCTTTGAATTAATGAGCTGATTGAAGCAGAACAAATCTCACAAGCTTTACAGCTGAAAGGCCAACTTTATCTCATGTAGCAAGTAATTCAAGGAATAGCATCTGATTCCAGGCATTCTTTATGTTTAGGTCAATTGGTATCATATGACTGTGCTAAAATATTTCTTCTAACCATCAGAATAAAAATATTGCAATTAAGATGTGCAGTACGGTTAGCCAGAAAAAGAAGCAAAATTTAAAAAGACAGCAATGAGATAGAATGGCAATCCCTTATGCCGCTTGTATTGATTCCTCCCCGCAGAGAGGATTTTGTGGCTATTTTAAGATGTCCAACCTTTCCCCTAATTATTTTCTAGGGAATTGTGAAAGTTCTGCTTCTCCTGGTATGGATATTTTTCTGATCAGAGATAGGCAGTAAAGACTGATCTTCAGAAATACTTACACACTTTCTACCAAAGTCATTACAAATGAAACCCCTGAAGTAGAACTGATGAAAGGCAGATGGTCAGATAGTTTTGTTTTTAAGGAGGAGCAGACAGAGCCATCTCCTCCCATGGCAGGACGTGGAGCAGCTGAAGAGAGGAAGAATATCACATATCTAATGTGATTCCTACAGCTAAAGGAGCAGAGAAGTGTCTTGTCCCACCTGGTTGGGTTACTTTAGCGCAGGTGTTATTCCCTTAACAGCTACTTTGAGTAAATTTAGGCAATAGCTACTAAAGAGTGAAAATAGATCAAGAGGGAGACTTGTCACCACTCCTTGGATCTAGCATTGTACCAAGCTGAGGTCTTAGATCCATGGGTGGCAGATCAACAAAAGCAAATTGTACATATTCACCTGTATATAATTCTATAGGAACCATTAAGGCTCGGCCTGAACCAGTGATTGAGCACCTGGTGAACGGGCAGAGCCAGCTCTGGGAGCACAGGTGTGAGCAATTCACTCGTGGCCAGCATGATCGCATTTAAGGGCTGGCCAGCGCCAGGGGAGGGTTTGCACTTGGAGATTCTGTCCTATGGAGGGCTTGGCAAGCTTTGATCTTCAGAGAGGGGTAAGTGGTTGTTCATTTGTTTGATTGCTCGTTTGTTTGATTGTTTGTTTGTTTGTTTGATTGCTCGTTTGTTTGATTGTTGTCAGTGGCTTACGGGCTGGTTCGGCCAGGTTCTGTGACCAGTGGGGCGGAGGGATTTTGCAAAATCCGTGCCACTGGAAAAAGGGAACAAGGGACCCCAAAATAATTAAAAACAGCAGCAATGGTCTGAGGAGAAACAAACTAGTTTACTAAATGTAGTATCGAAATGCAAGATAGCACACTATAATACAATATAATCAGAATTGAAGCTAATAAATATAATGCAAGAGAGTGTCCGAAAGGTGGATAGGCCTCACCACAGCGCTGAGGTGAGACGTGCAGTCCAGCTGAGCAGCAGGGAGGTGGGAGCAGCGCCACAAAGAAGAACAGATGAAAAAAGAGCCCGTCAGGTGACCTTGCCAGGAGTTCCATCTCCTCTCCATGAC